CCTGACCAGTGCACTCCTGATAGTGTATTTCCGCTATTTCATTGAACAGGAGTAATTGTAGCTCAGTGAGATTTCTGCACTAGTACTGTAGTGAAAGCTTTCGGACTCAAAGCGTTGTGCTTTACGGAATAAGAGCGGGTATGGGGGAAAAATCCACTGCAGGGTTGCAGCTCCAGCTTTGCTGATGCAAAGAGTTACGATTGATTTACTGTACACAGAGCAGGCCAGCCCTCTCAAACCCCCCTCTGTTAGAAGTTACGGTAATGTCAGATCTCCCGACCTGTAAGTCGGGATTTAGAACGTATGGCGAATGGAACATGAAGCCTCAATCATCTTGATTGTCAAAACGCTTCATGGTCCGTCCAATATAATGTTGCACACCGCTGGTAATGTATCTCTCCAACTCCCAGACAGTTGACCTCCTGGTTGCAATGGAAGCAACGATACACCTCAAACACCCCCAGATCTGGTTTCTCAAGATCCTGGTTTTGTATTTCAGGGTTTTTTTCGTCACCATTGGTACAAACATTTTCTCACAGCCATTTTCAGTTCATTCACCATCCATCGTTTTTAAACCCACCTGACGAAATCGGCCACATAGCCTCATTAGGTGGATTTGGGCCAGTGTCAGCAGCTAAGATGGATAGTGTCCGCACTACGAGCATAGCACACTTTAGTTTTAAAAAGGGTCACCCGTTTAATCCGAAGGGATTGAGGTAGTTTCGATGCTACCCCCCCCCCCCCCCCCCCCCCCCCCCCCCCCCAAACACTACCTTTTTTTAAGGAATGTCTTGACCAGCTGCTGCGGGGGAAGGTGGTGGTGGGGGGTCGTGATAGTGGGAGTGCAGGGGGGTGGCGATGAGGCGCACACTGACCCTGGAGGTTGCATTCCCCTTTAAAAGTCACGGCACACTCGGATACGCAAGGCTCATGCAGGAGCTGCTGCGGCAGTGGGAGAACACTGCTGAGCTGTGCAGTTTGTACTGCCAGTGAGCGCGCAGAGAGGAGGAGGGGGAGCAAGAGATAGAAAAAGAGAGAGAGAGCAGGAGAATTAAGCAGGGAGAGAGAGCGAACAATGTCATTCCATTCAGCAGGCAATGCTGCAGTCAACTTTACAGCACCGGAGGAGAAGACACGGCTGCTTGTGCATCATCCCTGCAAGACTCAGAGAGGAGCGGAGGCTGAGTGAGTATGTGGAAGTTTGTCTTTCTCTAGAGGGCTAGAGGACGCATGTTGAACTTTTCACCCAATCTAGAGGGGGTTCAGCTTTGTGGGATGTTTCTGTCTGATTGCAGAATTATTCACTCACCTGCTCTTAGGTCTTAAAGGACCCGTTTGCATTGACCTACATGATGAGTGATCTTCTGCAGTCAGGCTATGACACTTCGGCAGTCATCTCCCTAACCAATGCCGGCCGGTCTTACTGATAATCTTTGCACACGCAGTTGCATGCGGGATACCAGCAATAGCACTTAGCACAGGACGAAAAGACGCACAAGCTTGATTTAGGATCAGTGCCGGTATAGAAATGACGCCTACAGGCATAAATAAAAGATGTAGGCCAGAGATATTCTGCATCAGGGTGCCATACTTTGCTGCACTTTGTTGTGTTGTGTAGCTTGAAGTACTGATGCTGCAGTTTGCCTTGCATCCAGAATGTCAGGAAGGGAAAGAGTTAAAGAACTTGCAGCAGATGGGAAAATGGAAGTAACGTTTTAGGACGGCCTAGGGAGGACAGAACGCAGTGTGCGAGTGTGTCAGCTAGCAACTGTCACCACCATAGACTCTTAGGGCACTCGGACAGAATATTTTGACAGAACGGTTTAGGCTGGCGCATAAGAGTCTCAGCTTCAAAGGGTGTTTATTAACGTGTGTGCTTCACACTCTCTGTTGGACGGTGCTGCACTCTTACTAACCGTCCCATCCGAGAACAAGAGAGAGTGACTTAAATAAAGCGGTGGGGGGACTCATAACTCTCTCACTGCAGGTCTTTTTCTGCTTCAGCTCACTCTCTACTCAACTATAGATACTACTTGCATGCTTATACATGGGAAATGCATCATATTTTGTTTATTCTGTGTAGTGTAATGAAATCTGATGGGATTATCTTGTGACACTGTTGCGATTTTTGTTTGTTGCAGTTTGACTACCTAGATTGAACTGTTAATGAGCGTGACGTTTATGTTTATTCAATGTAGCGCTTTGAAATGTAAAGGGATTTTGTCATGAGGTTAGGTGTAGGTTTCAGTTTGAACGTAGCGCTCATTACCAGTACACGAACTCTGCGGTGATGAGTTCAACTCAGGTTACGCACATAACCCATCCATCCCAGCTGAACGTTGAAGAACGGCCGCGGTTGTGTATATTGCATGCTATAGGGCAGGATTAGATCTGTGTACAGCAGGAATGTGAGGAGTGATATATCACTGTCAGATCCGCTGCCTGACATCATTAGCAGAAACTGCAGTTTCTCATGGCGCTCACCAAAGGGGGGTGGGGGGAGGAGGTTGCTGCTGCTCAGCCAAAAAGCGTATTGCCGCACTCACCTGATGTTCTTTAACACCCATCCTCCCATCTCCTCTTACTCTTCCTCCCCCATCTCTCCAGAGATCTGCTTTGAGATACAGAATGACTTGAGCGCACAAACCTTACCATTTCCCCCTCCAACACGGCTACTTTTTCTTCATCAATGTTACCTCGTGAAAAGTTACAGATTGAGAGTAAGAACAAGAGGGAGAGCGGATACCCTGCAGTGTCCTGCAGCACAGTTCCTGCAGTACTGCCAAGATGTGGCAGCAGCGAGAAAGACAGGCAGCTACGCTAGGTCACGTGGACGACAAGAGAGAGAGAGAAACAGAGAAAGCAAGTTAATAGAAGGATGGTACGGAAGTCTACTGCTCTTGTCTGGAGTTTGGCAGCCCAGATTGTGGATATGCCCTCCTGACAGAAAAAAAAGATAGAACAGCTAGAACAGGCCTTTTACTCCACCACCTCCCCCACCGAATCCCCCCCCCCCCCCACCCAATGGTGCATTGTCCCATACTAGTGCTCTAGTTCCGATGATGTAATCAATGCAGCAAGCTTTGATCTTGCTGGAGTAAGGATTCCACACTTGCCCTCCAACCTCTCATAGTGTTGCAAGCATATTTGCACAAGGCAGAGTTTTAGGGATTTCCTTTATTTCGACGCTTCTGAATTTAAAGCCATCCGCAATGCTACTTCACATAATTTGCCGACCAATTAAAGCGGCATGATACAAAACTTCAGGTTCGGAAAGAGATTTTTTTTTTGATTACTCAAATGGTACAAGGCTCCAATGCAGCAGAGAGTAGGCCAGTGAGCGCGCTCGGCGTTATATTTGGCACCATCTTAACGTCCACTGCAGCATCTGTGTCAAAAAGCCATCAGTCAGCTCTGACTGACACTCCACGTGGTCTTGTAAAACCAATAGGAAATGTACATGTCAGAACAAAATGTTACTTCAGCCACCTCAGAGTGGGGCGAAACAATTAGATGAGGGGTAACTGAGAAGGGTGAAGGTGAGCTACAGGACGGCGTGGAAACGCTGGCATTTGTGACTCTGCTCTTTTTATTGGTAAGGTCATCAGTCTTGGACTGCTGCAATCCAGTGAAGTGCAGTCCTTGTACTGTAACATACATTGGACCAGACTGCAGAGAGAGAGAGAGAGAGAGAGAGAGAGAGAGAGAGGGGCCACAGAGTTACATCTACTGTGGAGCTGAGCTGTGCCGCTGCACTGCAACTCTGCCTGGTGATGAAGTTTCTCTAGAGCGCTGGGCTCTGCGTTACTGCTCTGGTGCCTCACTTTAATTAGGGTTTGTGTTTCATTACTACATAAGTCAGTGCTGGCTTATATCTGAGAAATCATTTGTGTGGATGCGTATTCCACTGAGGATTTGGGTAAGTGTGAATATTTGTGTAAAAATTCTCTGTGAAAATTTGATTCAATTGTTTAATTAAGCGATGCTTAATGGTTTCTTTCAGTAGATCAACCTAGAAATTGCACATTTGGCATGTATTTACCATGCTCTTTTTTTAATTTTTGCAAAAAAGTTTAAAAATGCATTATTAATTACTATGTTATTATCAATATTATTACTTTTATTATATACAAATTTGTCAATTGCATATATTACTTTATACATTATTATTTTATTTGAAAAAATTTTTTTGTTAATCTAAATTCTTAATATATTATTACATCTAAAATATTTTAGATACAGATATCATTGTTAAATATTTTTATTTTTATTTTCAAACTGAGCTTGTATCCTAAAAGCAGACTAGTACATTCATCAATTTGAACTTTGGTGCAGTAAGACCTTCACCACCAGGGGGAGCAGTGCAGGGTCCCATGAAGAAATCCCTCAGGGAACAAACTGCGTCTCATTGACAAAAAACAATCTGCTCTATTGTACATGATTTAAAGTTAACTCTATTGAGTTTGAAGACCCTCACTGTTCTAATGCTGTTTTAAATGAAATCCTAGAAAGTTTTAATAGATTTATTTATTGTACTGCGCTTATGCTATGCCCACTCTTAATTGTATTTTAGCTTTCAAAATAAACATTTTCAATTGAAATATTTAACAAAATAACCTATAAAATAGTATAGGAAATCCTACTGTGGCAATTCTGTTATACGCTTATACTATACTTTAATCTTTAGTCCCACTTAGGCTACGTGAATGGGTTGAAATGCCTGTGCAGACAAACAAGTGTAAATGTGAATGAAATGTAGGGTAGTTTTAACACTTTGAAGAATACCCATCATGTTACTAAATTGACTTTAGCATAATCGTTTTCTTGCGCGTGTCTGTACGTAACTTTACTCACACATCCTGCCTGAGTCACTTATTCATGTGTTGTATTGCGCAGTGACTGTCTGAACATGCCTGTAAAGACAGAACAGTGACCTCTGAGAGAGAGATGTCTCTGATTTGTCCTGTCACCTCTAATGCTAAGTCTTCTCTATTCTCTTTGCTCCTCCTCCAGTTCTCCAGTTGAAGCGGTAGAGCAGAGGGCGCTGTGCAGAGCAACAAGAACATGCCTTGACTTGTACTGGCATGTCAGGAGGGAGTTGAGGCTTGTGGTCAGCACCAGTAACTGTTTCTCATCTAACTGACCGGTGAAGACGAAAACAGCATACTATCGACTCTATGGATATTGGGACAGACTGAACTGACAAACATCCAACACCCAGGTAAGTGTCACTTCTCAGCTGTATCTTATGGAAGAATAGAAGTTTTTTTGCTTTATAATTACAGTGTAGGCCTACTTAAAAGTACATCAGTACACTGCATAATCAGTAAATGTATCCATTAAAAACCATCTAAGAATCTTAAAGAAACAAAACTGTGTGAGATAACAAGACTTGTTTTTAGAGAATATCTTGAATAAAAAAAAAAAATCTTTTTTTCTTGTTTTAAGCATAAATCTAACAAAATGCAGTAAAGTTCATGGTTAAAATGAGAAAAAAATATTATTTGTGTATATATATATAAATATTTGAAATAAAAATACAAAGATGCAGTGTAATTGGCTACAAAATAGATTTGTTTTGATTTATGAGCTGCTGTTTAAACTGAAATGGAATGGCTATAAAAATCATTGGTGTCTCTCTTATAGCAAACTTTGCCAATAATTTATTTCTTTAAGAGTCATATTATTTCCGCCTATGTGTCTAAATGAAAGCGGATTTTCACAGAGATTATTGATCAATTGTTTAATGACTCTGCCCTCATCACCTTTGGTGCTTCGTGAACAAACACTGCTGACCTTAAAAATAGAGAAAATCAATCTGAAGCAATGGAAGAATAATGGATCCCTTTGTGACTCAGTCTTTTGTGTTGTCTGAACAAACACATATATGAACTTGACTGACCGGATGTTTTTACAGTCTCTGCACTGGCTGTTCCCTCTCTGGAAGATCCCTGACCTCACCACGGCTGATTCTTCTGATGACACGACTCCTGAGACAAAAGGTGAGATGTTTTACCAGTCTTGTTTTATGTACTTACTGATGTCACTGTAAATGTATTTGGTGTCCACCAAAGTGTTGGTTACTCTCCTGAACCAGCGGTTTACTCGTAAGCAACTCTGCTGTTGCCAGAAGCATCAGTGTGCTGATAATAATGTATTTTACTGGCTGAAAGGTGGGCTGTGTGAATTATTAATGTATTCTAGCTCTACAAATAGAGCTTGCATTGATCAACAGTCTCTTGAGTAAACTGATATTGTTTAGGAATGCAATGTTTGCACTTTGTCTCCCCATATAGCCTTGCAAAGACTTGAGGTTCTAGCTTTTTTTGGTAAACAAACCTTTCAGTCCCCTATGACAGTTTCCCTCCCTTTTGTGTCTCTTCTTTTATTTTAAGATATTTTTATTTTCAGTACTGAACAGTGAAAAGCAGTTGTTCTTAAAAATGTTTGGTTCTTCTGAACTATTATCTATAACCACAAGGTTCAGAACTTAATGAGGCCTCAGGGCAAAATAAAAATGCAATTCAATGTGACAAAAATGTCGCTGAAATTGAAAATGTTATTAATGTTTTTTTTTTCATGTCTGGTATATTTCTTAATATTCTAGTTATATAATGTCACAAAATATAAATAAAAGGGTTTGATATTAATTTAAATGTATAGCTAACAGCCTAATTTATTGACAGTGTCTGTCCATTTTTTCAATTTAAATATTAGACATAAAATAATGACACTGAGTGTATTTTATATGGTTTGAAGAATATGGCCTCTTAATAAACATAAAATATAAAAGTATTTCCCTGTAGTGGAAAAATTAATTTCTGACCGTAATAGCAATTTTATTTATTTATTTGTATTTATTGATTGATTGTGAGCTCTACTCATTCTGTGGTTTCCAGTGAGTCCACTCACACTCACCCTGTTTAATGTTAAACAAATATATAATAATGTTTAATTAAATTATATTATTATTTCTAACAATGAAATACCAACTACTTAAATAAAATCACAGAGGGGAACTTGCTGGCACAGCAATAGTTTAATTAGCTGAATAAAGGAAAAAACATGAGAAGTTTTGCCAGTGACATTTAGCAGTACTTTCCCTTTAAGATGATTAAGTCAGAGGAATGATATGACTGCTGTACTATAGACAGAGTGACACAACCGTGGGAGAAAGAGAGCGAGAAAACAACAGTGCAGATGGTGGTAAAAAAACAACAAAGTGCTTCTTTTACAGAAACGTATCCAGATGTCCTGGAGACGATGAGAGACCTTGAGTCAGCTAGATTAGCAGAAAGGTGAGTGTCTGATTCTAGTTATTCAAAATTTTAACTGTCCTTGTTGATATACAGTTTTCTTTTTAAAATTAGTTCAGTACTAGCTGCATTCGGAGTGCTTTGACATATTTTTTTCACATACAGTATGTTGGCAAAAATGTGGAAAAAGTATTGTATTTTTAGGTCAACTATGATGCTATTTACATTAGATAGATAGTGGTTTGCTCCTCTACTACTGGTTTCACTCCATTTATTCTAAATGTGTATTTTCTTTAGACAATCAGATTATCAGTTTTCACTTAAACAGTTAAACTAGTTCAAACAAACTTTGTGACCCGTAAATGCATTCATTTGATCTGTCAGTTAATACAGCACCTGTGTTTCTTGGTTCTGAAGTGTGTCAGAGGCGTACAGGCACACGGCAGTGCCAGCTGGCATGTGTGTGTGTGTGTGTGTGTTTGTATGCGCATATGTTTTTCCCCTACTTCCTGAAAGCCTGTATTAGAGATTACATCAGGCCCAAAGCAGCCAGGAATTCCTGCCATCATGTGGCCTCTGCAAGCCGTTGGCCTCACGAGACAGACATAGGGACACAACACTGCAATTTAGCAACTGCAGCAGAAACCAGATCACGAGGTGTGTGTTTGTGTATGAGAGTGTGTGTGTGGGTATGTGAGGGTCTGCATGCTTTTACAAGGCATTGCATGTGGTATAATGAATTTATACATCTGTGCTGGTTTGGGTGGCATACATGTTGCGTTCCTCTTTTTCTAATGACCGTCAGACAGCTGTGTGCTCATTCATGTGTGCGTGTTTATCTTTTTCTGTCCAAAGAGCCGATCAGATTTCCTCAAAGCAGCCTTCAGATGTGGTCTAATGACACTTTTGGCTGATAGAATTCAAATCTGGTAATATGTACCAGTGCTGGGATGTCACTTAGCATGCGTCTTGTCATGTTATATCGCAGAAAACACCTACATGTTTGATGCGATAAACACATCCAGTAAGTAAGAAGGCAGCCAAGCAGGACTGGCAGGTTGTCAACACTCAGACAAAAACAGAAATTATGATGTACAGTCTGATGGGCAGCATACTTTATAATCAGTATTTTTGTCTTGTGTTTCAGTACGTAATACTTTGTGTATTATTAAAAAATCTTTCCAATAAAATCCTTAAAAGAACATTTACTTGAAAAACAAACCTATATAAGCTATTTGCAAAAGGCTTGTTATATCTGGAATTTTCTTGTTTTAAGCTTTAATCTAACAAAATGTAATGCTTAAAGGGGTCATATAATGCCATTTTTGTACAAGCTAATATGATTCTTTAGAGTCTAAATTAAAACTTTGTAATATACTTTAATTAAAAATTCTCATTAGTATTGTAAGAAAACACTTATTTTACCTGGTCAAAAACAGCTCTGTTTTCAGCACGCCGTTTCAGTGTATATGACTTTAAATGATAATGAGTTTTCCTCACCCCGCCTCTCTGTTCTGTGTACACCGTTTGTAACACAATACCATAACGCGTTGTTCATTATAGATGTGGGATTATGAATTATATTGAGAACGTCGTACATAGAAAACATGCCGTAATGTACCCCGAGTGTAAACCTTAGACGCATTCATTGTGAAGCGTGCATCTAGCGATTTGCAAAGATTAATATAAATATTAAAGATTAATAAAACGATACACTCACTTCAGTTATTTTGGAGGTTCAGCAGGAACACGAATAGTTGGTACTTCTTAGCAAAACCAGCTTTATACTGACCCTCCTCGTTTATAAGCAGTCTGGTGTGTGAAATGATTCGCGCAAATATGAAAGCATTGACGTTGCTCGTGGGGAATATTCCCTTCGAAAACAAACTCAGCCACTGCGTCTTCAGCGGTTCGGATTTAGGAACATTAAAATGACTGCTGTGTTCGTTATTACACCCAAGAACAGAACACCACAATCGCTTAGAGCCATTCTGCTCATCGACAGTGCTCCAGCATATCAACAATGACCGCGCCGGTCCGCGCAGACTATGATCGACAGCTCGCTCCCTCACGAGCGAGGGCGGGTCTGTGTTGAAACCCGGCTGTCAATCAACAATCGTGGGAGGGGCGTCCGTTTTATTGACGTCACAAAAACGAACGGCTCAATTTGAGGCAGGGGAAAACATATAAGGAGATTAAAACAAAAACACTGGATGGATTTTTATCATTATATGATGTTTGTGTACAGGCACTGCCAACACACATTTCAGTACAATCAACTTGTAAAAGTGCATGTACCATTATATGACCCCTTTAAAAAAATATACTGTAAAAAAAACATAAGCATATGTGTGTGTTTATATATATATATATATATATATATATATATACATACACACAGGCACAGATACACACACCGAAAATATTGAAATGTATTTTACATACAAGTATATATTGATATCGGATACATTGGCGGATTATTTTTATTTATTTTTTGCTTTTAATTCTAGGAATTCGGTGAAACTTTTCACTTACTGTTTGTTCTTCCTTGCAAACCTGTCAAAGAAATTCCCTCAAATATATCTAAATATATTAATTTGTAGTTTTTTGTTAACAGTTTGGGTAAAATGTAGAAATAAAGGAAGCTGCTGGAAGTTTCTTCTAGGAAAGCCTCACCCTGTTTTTGACCCCCCCACCCCCACCCTCCTCGTCCTGCGGTGATGTCAGCATTCAAGTGAGGTACTGTAGGAGTCAGCGCAAGGCTGTTACTGAAATAGTCTCATAATTACAGGTGTGTTTGCTCAGACTCAGATAACGCTGCGGACGCAACGGAATATTGTATCAGCAGTTGCTGTAAAAAGGCTTTACTGGTGCCTCTCGCTCGGACTGGAGAGTAGGGAACGAAGATAATATCACATGCGCTACTTAGCTCTCTCTTGACCTCAACCTGTTTTCATAGGCAAATGCTCATTTCAAGGGTTAACGTGCATGCGTGCGCTTGGCAATTCAGCTCTGTGGACTTTTATTACCTGCCATAACTTGTCACCAAACAGCACAAGAAAGCAATGGTACAAGAGGACAAGCACCCGCCTCAGCAGGGTCACAGTGCCCCTTATTGCATGAGTATGGGATTTCGAGCGTCTGATGACAGTGACTAAGCCTGGTGTGGCGCACATCTAATGCTGCAAGCGCTTCTACTGCATTTCAAGACCCTGATCTGATTTAACTGTCACCGGCAGCCACACGGCCATTTTTTTTCATCACTTTCTTTTTCTCTTTCACTTTTTATTTCTCTTTAATTGTGCCTCCACTTTCTCTTCCTCACTCTTCCGCTCTCCCACGCACATGCTAACTCTCTCCCACTCTGTTCTAAGCCTTCTTGCTTAGTGAGCAGAGGCCCTTCTTCTCTGGCAGAGCCCTTAAGAGAGGCTGTCTGCCCAAAATAGCTGCACTGTGGGGAATACCAACAGATAGGGCCTTCACAGTGCTTCTGTAGGTGAACAACAAATCAGGGACCGGAGTCACGGGACTGACCTCCTCAGTCATTTAACTCATAAACATATGACACCCTCATACGAGCGATCTTGCTCTTTCACATGCAAGCATTCTCACAGTTTCGTACAGGCAAATATAGGCTGAAGTGAACCCTTTGAACCTAGATTCAGCGTTTATTTGAGAATAAGTGAGTTACGGCTCTATTTGCGGTGTAGAGGGTCAGCATAGTTCATATAAGTAATAAAAGAAGGTGTGCTCTCCCCTCCCTGAGGTGTGGCGGTCTCTCAAACTTTTTTTCTGAGGATTGAGTCTTTCTCTTTCAGATGTAAGCTTTACAGGCTTGTTTACATTGGAGGGAGTCTTAGCAAGCTAGCGTTAGTCTCGTAAAGTGTTGGACGTCAGTGTATCCTCAGGGCTTGTTTTCGTCTGTCTTGTGATTATTGAAGGTAAGTGTTGTGGGTTCTGTCATAGCTTTTTATTAAATGCTAACCTGGAAGTCCCGCAGCGATGCTGAAATGACATCACAGATATGAGAACTGTGATTTTTGGTACTTTCTACCCCCAGTAATACAGTCATCATTGTCCCTTTGTACTTTGGTTTAATTTGTTTGTTGAAACTTGCACTGCAAAAATAAATCTATTTCTTAATCAGTACTTTTGTCTTTATTTCCAGTAAAAAATATTATTATAAATTAAATATAAAAATGAATATTTTTGACATTTTTATTATTATTTTAAACAGCAAGGATGACAGTAAAAATATTTTACAAAATAATGTTTTTTTATAAATAAATCAAAGAAAAAATATTAAGCATCACACAACTCTTTTCAACATTGATAATTATAAGAAATTGAGCAGCAAATAGACTGTTTTCTATTTGAATATATTTTAATTTAATTTAATTTATTCATGTGATGGCAACATTTTCAGCATCTTTACTCCAGTCTTCAGTGTCTGAAGTGTCTAATATGCTGAAAATGTTGCCACCACATGAATAAATTAAATTAAATTCAAATATATTCAAATAGAAAACAGTTGTTTTAAATTGTAATAATATTTGACAATATAATATATTATAACATATGTTTTGTAAAAGAAGTGTTTCTTTATTTTGTTTGGGTTTTTTTAACCTTTTTTGTTATACATTTATTTTTTATTGTTTATTTTAATAATTTTAACTTGAAAACAAAACAATTATTTTTTCAATTCTGTCATCCCTTGTGTTATGTCACACAGTTCTGTTTTCGTATGCAGCAGTGGTGAGGTGTAATAAACTGGAAATATGAGATATTTTCTGTGTTTTCAGGCGACCTCTCACCTACCGTCATCTCTTGGAAACTGAAAGCAGAACAAAGGCTTATTCGGTAAGGGGAAATCTACCTCTGTCCCTGGCTGTCATAGAAGAACTCTGGACATTCCATGAGCAGAGTATTAAAGTGTCCAGAGCTCACCTGCAGAAGACGGGAGAGTCATATACGAGGAGCCTTTACAGTCACCGACAGATGAGGGCGAGAGATGCTGAAGTGATGGAAGGAGAGCGAGCGAGTGAGGGATGAGGGGCGCTGCTGTGAGTGGTTCTTTGGCAGTGTCTTAGCTGGTTGTTGTGTGGAGTGAGAACGAAGCAATCAGCAAGTATACTGCCGCAGAAACTCATCACCTTAGGAAGCCCATCCATCCAACCCCGCTCATGCACTTACAGCCTGGAGAGAAACAAGAAAAGAGAAACTTCAGTCTCTACATATTACCAAGCTTCTCTTCCCATTCATTCTTCTTTTCTAATTGTGAGTGTGAGCTTTTGTTTCTGTCACTGTCGTTTGAACACGTACAGCGACTGATTTCATGAGTGTTTCAAGTGAAAGACTGATTCATGCTTACAGTATCTTGGGTCATTTTTTCCATGACGTTGTTGTCATAGTTTAGATCAAACCTCTTTTTCTTTTTTTCTCTTTTCAATGAGATCAGGAGTGATTTAGTCAAGTGTTATTGTGAATATCAGCTGACCAGATTTCAGTATTGAAATTACATTGTTGTGACATGTTTATACTTGACCTATAGCTTACAGTCTGATGACATATTCAGATGACTGTGTTGTAATATGTTCATTATGAAGTTTGTTAATGAATTAAAATATACATTATCATCATAATGATGAACAAAAATACTAATCATTCTGGTTTGAAAAATATCTAGAATATTTTTTGGAAAATAAAAAATATATATGAAATATATGCACATTACTTTGTATATTATAGAACATCTAGAATGTATTTAATAACATATATATATATATATATATATATATATATATATATATATATTGTATTAATATAAATTTAAATGTATTTTTAATAGACTGTATTTTTATGATCAAAATATATGAATGCATTTTTTTTAAATGTCGTCATTATTGTCATGTGTTATTTCTCTATTTATGGTTTCTGTTTAGTATTAACTTTAAAGCAGTTTGTGTGTATCAAGTCGAGTTTCATTTTCAGGGAATTTCATTAGTGTTTTGGTTTCGGTTGTTGATCATCAAAAGGGTGGTTTGAGCAGGTGAATGAAACGCCCGTAACTCACTTGGGTTTTTGATGTAATCACATCAGTGTGGCAATAAGTCTGAACTTGTCCAGAAAGCTGAAAATCAATTTAGTAAGGTCTTTTACAAAGTATTAAAGCACTTTGTTTTAAATCATACCTTGAAAATGAGTTAACAGTGTAGCCTTCACAGATTTAATATCACAAACATATTAATGTTACTTTAAAAGGTATGTTGTTGGACACCATATGTATATCAAAGTGCAATGATAGCAATTGAACTGTATGGATAACCTCAGATATTTGTCCAATAGGCCAGTTTAATCACTTGCTGGATTGGATCTGTGCCAACACTGTCAATCACAGTTTTATGCAATGACACATTTTTGGGGCAAACGTATGTTGTTTCTGTTGTATGAAGCCAGACTCTATTTTGAATTTTATTTTACTTTATCTCTTTAGTCTGAATTGTATTCTGTCAGTAGTTTTATTTGGATATATTATCTGTGATGAAAGATCAAAACTGAACTTGCCTTGTTAACCAGACCTCCTGATGTGATTCATGCACATATCAGAATACAAAATAAACGTTTTTACTAAGTCCCTCTCAAATATATTTTTCATTGGATTACAATACAACAAAATATGTTATTTAACACATTTTTTATATAACAGTGCCTTTTGCTGAAAGCCTCATTTCTGCTCACTTTTAGACTGTATCTTCACACCTTATACTGGCAGAATTTAGGTATTCATTTAATTTACTATGGATGCATGGCAGGAGAACTAAAGGGTTGCCTTTTAGGGGACCTATTATACCCCTTTTTTACAAGATGTAATATAACTCTCAGGTGTCCCTAGAATGTGTCTGTGAAGTTTCAGCATGTATCTTTAAATGCAAATGAGTTGCTGCTCCCCGCCCTGCCATCCAGAAGAGGGCGGAGCCTTTACATTCTCTGCAAAAAACTAAAACATCTGTTTGGTTTTGATTATCACCTCTATCACGGTCACTCTCACCTGACATTGCAGTTCTTCATCATCAAGAAAGTTTATTATCTGCATGCATTTTAAAGCCATATCAGTCTAAACTTCTTATATACGATATATATTATTGCGCTTAAAACTGTCAAATTCACACAAGATTATGTCAAAAACAACAAACAACAACACAAAGTTTACATAAAGACAGTCGGTAATGTCTGTGAATGTAAACTGCAAGTAAAGAAATCGCATGTGTATATTAGATCTGTGTATTAAAGTGAAAACAGCTTAATATACAGTACCTGCTATATATGCTGTTAATATGAATCAAACAAAAAGAAAAAAAGAAAATCACTCACTGCTCTTGATTAAATAACTTGAGCAGCTTTAATAAGAATATTTTTTTTACTTGAATGCTGCTGTTAAATGCTCTGGAGAGGAGATACACATGGCGGACTGTGTACAGCTGGCACCGTAAACACTTGCGGTCTTAGTCCGCACTTTCGTGACGTAATGCCACTTTGACTGCCGAGAAGAAGTCTGCTGCGGAGCTCGCTTTAGTGCTGGCTTGGTAAAAGTGCACGTTGAGGGCACATATCTACCGCAAAGGGGGGTGGGGGAAGGGGGTCGTGAGCACCCTTTTGAAAATGACAAATAAAACATCCTACGGTCTCATGGACTTAACGGACACGCACGCACGGCAGCCATTGTAAGTCCACAAAAACAAAAGTACATATAGTGTGACATTTAGGACAGGGCCATAGCGTACTGTGTACAGCTCATTCAGGGCGGGTCTATGCTAATAGGGCAGAGTCCATCAGCAGTCGTGGGCGGGGCCTGTGCAATGTGACGTCACAAAACTACAATCTGCAAACGGCTTGTCTTGAGACACTGCTCATGATTTATGGGGATTAAAAAAATATGAATGGGTGGATTTTTACCATTATAGGGTGGTTGTGTATACACACACTGCCAACACACATGTTCAAACACCATGTAAAAGGGAATTTTGCATAAAAGGTGCCCTTTAATGGAGGATCAAGCAAAGCATTGTTTTTTTTTGTTTTGTTTTTCACCTCTTTTTTTCTCTGTCTAAAAAAAAATTATGCACTGTGACAGTGAGATAAAAGGAGATATATCCCTAAATTTAATCCTGGCCTAAATAATAGACCAGTGGAAACAAAAATCTCGCTGGAAACTGAAATACAGGCTAATATTTTTTTGACAAAAGCGGCACCTCACTCCAAACATTCCTGCAAGACAGCTCGAAACACTAATGATATAATGAGGTTAATGCAATGCAAGTTACAAATCAAATTACAAAAATGTTTCACAAAGAAAAGAAAAGAAAAGAAAAGAAAAGAAAAGAAAAGAAAAAAGAAAATGACCAAGATCTTGAAGCTTGATTAAAGTTCACATAACGCCATCTAATGGTGTAGTATAGTGATTGCAGATGTATTGTCAATAATTGCAGAAACATTTGCAATGCCGCATTGCTTGCACATAGCCTATTGCGTATACTCTCACAGTTCCATTTGGAATGTTGGAATGCAGATTTTTAAAATGAACTGGGGCCATCACCATCGCTAATAATAGCTTATTACTGGTTGAATGACATTTGGTTGACAAGGATTAAAGATCTAAAGAAAAAAATAATGTTTGGAATCTTTGCCTATACAGTAGGCCTATAAGTGCTTTCTAGTGGTGTTTGTTTCTTAATTAATCTTTGACGTGAATGAATCAAATCTGGTGAGAGAGAAAAAACGATAGATCTGCTTTATCGTCATTTGTGAGGGAAAAGGTTAAACATTCTCTCTAGAGTCCCTTGTAATAAAGCACAATACTTGTTTGGGTCGATTCGATTCGGCGTTTTTTTTTTTTAACGAATGGTTCCTTCCATGACTCGCAAATCGACAGCAGTCATTAGTCTCCTTCTACTGTAGTGACGGTGGCCCTGTCCCAAATGGCACCATAAGCTCTTCCTGTGAGTCTGCACCATAGACTGTGGTCTGCACCATGGTCTGCACTTTCGTGACGTAACGCCGCTTTGACTGTCGAGAAGAAGTCTGCGGGTTTGGCAAAATTGCGCATTGAGGGCGCATATCGACCACAAAGGGGGCGCTCGCGAGCACCCTTCTGAAACCCAAAATGACAATCGGACACCCCAGAGCCGTTAAATATCTGGGACACCCTACGGTCGCGCACGCGGCAGCCATTGTAAAAGTCCACAAGACCGAACCATAGACTGTAAAAAACGAACGTGCATATGAAAGTGTGCCATTTGGGACAGGGCCGATGAAACCAACAGAAAGAGTCACTAAACGAATCAGTGAACCATTCTGTATGAATCTTTTTAGTGAATTGTTTCAAAGGATTCGAATCATTTAATGAATCAGTTTCATTTCCCAGCACTAGTGAGTTCACCTTCTGAAACTGTTCAGCGCAAAAACAAAGTTTGTCAGCTTAGATTTTAAAGGCTGGGGTACGTATGGTTTGTTTTATAAAGACAATCGGGTTTCATAAGTAGATGGCGACACATTGCAACATGTTTTGATTTGTTGTTATTATTGTCAAGACATTGTTTCACTGCCTCAGCTGTTGTGAAGAAGCTGTTTGACTGGCTTTTAGCCTATAAAGCTTCTCACATCGCTGGATCTTAAAGCCCGTCTTGTTTTCGGGGGAATGCTTCGTCAGGGGGACAGTGGACTGGGTATTTATTTACAAGAGGATTCGATACTTCAAATAAGGCAACATTTTAACAAACATAAACACACAAACGGCGCCGGTAGATTTTGAAGTAGTCCACGGGAAAACTATGGCCGAGACGAACCGGACCGCCGTGTATGTTTACGAACAGGTTGTTATCCTGGCATCATGTATACTTTCGTTTTTTGGGTCACTTTTAATTATATGCACATATCTACGTTGGCTCGATTTGAGAACTACACCGAGAAAACTGCTCGTGTATCTGTCTGTGTCTGACCTTCTGTCTGCACTCTCGTACTTTTACGGAGTTTTGCGGATTTTTGACTCTGATTCTGCGGATTGTATTGCGCAAGGAGCAATTTCCACATTCGCGAACACCAGCTCATTCTTCTGGACCGTGGCTATAGCCATCTACTTGTATGTTTTTATTGTGAAGTCCAGCCAGAGACAGGCCGACAACTTGGTGCTGTATTTTCATCTTATCAGGTAAACTCTTCGAAGCATTTCTTCACTGTCAGGGATAGTTCACCCAAAAATGAAAATTCTCTCATCATTTACTTACCCTTATGTTGTTCCAAACCTGTATTCTGAGTTTTTATCTTCTGTTGAACTAAAAAGAAGATATTTCAAAGAATGTTGGTAACCAGACAGTTGACGGTAGTAGGAAAAAAATACTATGGAAGTCAATGGCTACCGTCAACTGTTTGATTACAGACATTCTTCAAAATATCTTCTTTTGTGTTTAGCAGAAGAGGGAAACTCATACAGGGTTGGAACAATAAAAGGGTGAGTAAATTATGACAGAAGTTTTATTTTTGGGTAAACTATCCCTTTAAAGCAAAGGTTAACCCAAATAAAATAAAATAAATCTTTAATATTTACTCATCACCATTATGATGTTCCAAACCTGTATGACTTTTTATTCAGTGGAACACAAAAGCAAATGTTTTAAGAATGACTGAGTCACCATTCACTTTAATATTATGGGAAAATGTGAAATCCCTTTAAAATTTTCCAGGGTTGCTTATAGCGTCAATTAAACCAATTTCTTTGCATTCAATCTTACTTTTTCGTATTTATGAATTAATATTTAATAAACATGCAATAATTACTAATTTTAACATACTTTATTTACCTTTGGAGTTTCAGAGTTTAGTTGACGTATAGTTGACGTTTTAATGTAGTACTAGGCTATTGAATTCAGTTCTGATATGTAATATTTGTACTTTTAAAAATAATTTTGAAAGTTATATATGTAAATTATATAGCCTAAAATCTAAATGTTGAAGAAATAAAACATCCATATGCATGTCATGCTAATCCTTTAATTTAATTTACAGGTAACCTTTATATATTAAAGGAATTTAGGAATGGAGATTCCTTTTTATAATCAGTTTATAATATTTTGCCTTTAGAATCCTATTCCTTTAGCTTCATGAATAAAAAGGGTTTTAGACAGTCAGTGTTCTTTACAAAGACTATAATAAAGATTTTGTGTGAGAAGCCTGGCTCTCATGAACTCACTTGTAAATCCTGTTTCCAGTCTGATCTTGTGATTTGTGGTTTTTGTCAGCTGGGGCGTTCCTTTCGCCATCACTGTGGCAGCCCTGTCCCTGCACAAGATCGGCTATGATGCCTCTGAAGTGTCCGTAGGCTGGTGCTGGGTGAACATCCAGGCTGAAGACCATGTGCTGTGGATGCTGCTCACGGGAAAGATCTGGGAGTTCATTGCCTATGTCACACTGCCAGTCCTGTACATCCTTATTAAGATACACATAAACAGAGCAGTAAGTCCACCGCTGCTCATCACAGACAGTTTAACATTACTGCTTAGCAGAGTTTTGCATGACATTTTCATAAACTCTTAATGTGTGCAATAGGTGAGTTAATGTATCTGGGAAATATAATAATATCATAAAATAGTGATTTCTAGGCCTGGAAATGTCATGGAAATGAATAAAATCTTAAAAGGTCATAAAAGTATCTTCAGTTATGGTGAGCTATAAAATACTTCAAGGACTATAAACTCTTAGTGATTTTTTTTATTTATTTTATTATTGAAAAAATCAGTTGGATAAGTTATGGAAAATCACTTGTAAAAAGGGGTGGGACCGTGGGAACCCAGTAAAGTTCATTGTTGGAATTAAATAAGCAAATAATATTAAAGACTGGCTGACATTCTTGTCATAGTAACACAACTACATTCTGCAAACCACATGTTTTAGTGATGGGGGTGTATGTTTATGCTGTTTCCCTGCAAAGGAAATATGAAAGATTTAGTATCACTTCGGTTTTTAGGTTTGCCAGCCACTTTCAATACACTTTTAAATTGACAGGTCAGCTAACAACAAAAATTCTGTCATCATTTAAACTACTGTTTAAAAGTTGGTGTCGGTAAGATTTTGAATGTTTTTAAAATAAGTCTTTATTTGATGAAAAATACAGTAAAACATTAATATTGTGACAAATATGATTACAATTTAAAGTAGCTGTAGAAAACGTGAATTTTCCTTCAGGATTCTATGATGCATAGAATATTCAAAAGAACAGCATTTATTTGAAATAGGAATCTTTTGTCACTTTTGAACAGTTTAAAGTATCCTTGCTGGATAAAAGTATTAATTTCTTTCAAATAAATTACTCAATGTTAATGTACGCAACAACATTGCATAAGTCATGTGTAAGTCAGAATTTTTATTTTAAGTGAGCTGTTACTTTAATATTAAATATCTCTCTTTGTGCTCTTTTTATTCTCATGTGATGTTTTTCAGCATGCAGCCCTGTCTGAGTACCGTCCCATCCTGACCAGCAGCCCTGTCTCTCACTCACTGTCTTCCATGGCAGACAGGAAGCTCACCCTCATCCCCATCATCTTCATTATACTCCGCCTGTGGAGCACCATCCGCTTCCTGCTCCTGCTGACTGACTCCCCTGCAGGGCACAATCCAGTACTGGTGACCTTGCATGTAAGTCACCTGGTTCCACTTAGTTAGCCTGAAATTAACTTCATTTTCTTCTACCTGAAGTCCAATTCTCCTTAGCATCATGCTGTTTATTTGTGTACTTCATCAAAGTCATTTATCTTTACTTGCCCTTATTGCATTTGGCAACCCAATGATTCTGATTTCATTTTTTAAATAGGGAATTGGAAACACCTTTCAAGGAGCTGCGAACTGCATCATGTTTGTGCTGTTCACTCCCTCGATTCGTTCACGACTGGTGGCTCTGCTGTGCTGCAAAGGTTGGGACAGACACTGGAGCTCAGAATCAGTGTCCCAGAACAGGGCAAATGCATATACGCCTTCACACAGGGAGGAAAACACCAGCCCCCAAACCTTGGAGAACAGTGTGGAGTAAGAGCTATTAGGATCCTGCATCTGCTCCTGTACATTTAACTCTGTTTAAACGCACAAGGCTGGGTGATACCAAGAATGAAAGCTCTGACTTAAAGTTTATGGCTCTCTGCTGTGGTTGTTCGACTTACATCAGAGCCTTATGCTCAGCCTTCTTGTTTGACCAAGCGCCTTCACGGATTACAGGGGACTGTGGTCACATGCACAAAACCCACAGAGCATGGAACACAAATGCACTTTCTGTTACCGGTTTAGCTCTGCACTTTAGGCGAAAGGCTTTCTGTCTTCCAAATCTGTTTTCATTCTGCTGCCGCAGATATCTCATGTTCATTTAAATAGAAATGAGATCTGTAGCTCAGGGGAAGCGAGGATACAGCAGTTTATTATCTAGTGACCAAAATGGCAAATGTACTGTGAAGGGTTTTTACAAGGGATTTTTTTCCTCATTCTCCCAACAAAGCACGTGTTCTTAATGCAAAGTTAATACTGTACATTACATCTATTATGTATTTTTAAAGCATGATTTATATGGATACTGTACTTATATGTATAAACGTATAGTATTTCTTTTTCTTTTTTTCTGTATGTATATATTATGTCAATCTCATTTAATTTTATTCACTTTTTCTCTGTAAATAGACACATGCTCCTAGCTGGCCAAAATTTGCATCCAGGACACAGGCCACAAAATGCACATTTATTGTTACTTCACAATGCCTTTGAAACACTGGGGAAGAAGTGCCTTGTAATCGTTGCATATGTAGTTATCAATTTGTACATGTAGTTATTTTATCAGCATATTAACTGAATTCAATAAAGTGATTAACTTTCAGATTCAGTGTTACTTAAGTATTTTTTATATACGATTTCCATTACACGAGAGTAGATGTTAAAACTTCATGCTGATTTGTACTCGGCTTTCGCCAAGATAAGCAAAACTAAGACGTAGCTTTACAGTAAACTATGCTTCTCCATCCATTTACGCTTCTTTCCATATGGTGGTGTGACTCCCCTTCTGTCCGGCGTTAACGGCTGCAGTGTACTTGGCGCGTCAGCACACGCGACGGCTGCAACTACAGGACCAGCACGACAACCGTCTGGATTGAGCCGAGTAGGGGACATCTCTAGGGTCTTCAAGTGGACACCTTCCGTCCTCAGTGTTTCGTCGACTAGCCCACGACACCTCAAGAGGGCCCGACAGTGACTCTGGCGTCCCAGAGTCACCCCCCTCCGTCCCCCACTCAACTCAGTCCAGCTTACTGACCTCTACATCCCTCCTGCTGCTGAGACCTAACCACAATCTCTCCGCAACTCGACCATACGCGCCAACCCGTTTGACTAAGGCTGTCGAGCCCCACTGGTGCGTTAATATGCAGTTTCAGTGGACAACGGTTCCGTATGGCATACCACCTACCACAAAACACAATATCTGCCCAACCACCCGTCATTCACGCAATATTCACAGGAACGTATACAAATAAACCAACAGACTTTTCAAGTTTTCAAGAATTCTACGAAACCGTAGCGTGGCGGCCTGCACACAGCCAGCTAGAATCTTTCCGTCTCAACCACAGCCAGTTGCTGCTCCTTTCTGCTGCTTCAGATAAGTTCTTTACTGTGCGACGCAACTCTTGGCCGCTGAATCCGATGTCTCTGAGGAACCGGGTTGTAGAGTGTGCCACAAAACCTCGGCAACCCACTTCCACTGGATAAACCTGGACTCTCCATCCTCGCTGTTCTGCTTCAGTGGCCAGATGAGAATACCGCAGTTTCTTCTCATATGCCTCATCTACCGCATCCTCCCATGCCACTGTTAACTCTATCAGTTGAACAATGCGTGCTGATCCAGACCACAAAACAATATCTGGTCGTTTTATAACAGGTGTACATTAACCCATACAATTTGTATTATGCATTTCCTGGACATGTTCTTGCTAACTAATCAAATACTTGAGCAGACTACTGATCTATCTGTAAAACACAATCAGAAAGAGCTCAATTTTAAGTTCACAATTCACATATACTTCATTTTTAGTAAGCAGGAATAATTTCCGACTTTAAACAAATACCCATTTAAATGCTTAGGATGTTTGCGTTGTAAGACTGTTCAGGGAGACTTTAGATTTAAAGACGGTGTCTCGTTATGCAATGTTTTCTCAGTCAAATCATACAATTTCCTATTGATTCAATAGAACGCGTGAGCTCACTAGGGAATCACAATATGGCGGCGCGGTGGCTTCACTGTTTATGACGTCATGAGCTATCCAGTCATTCTATATAGATCAGTGGTGTTAACACCTTTTCTTGGTGGTTGCTCGCCTGGGCGGAGGAATATTGTCTTCTGCTTGTAATGTCTTGCTAGAACAGGTGGCAACTTATTGGTCATGTTACGCTTGCCTTCTAATGCTAAAGCCAAACATCGCAGTACTTGGTCATGGCGCCAAGTAAACCGACCTTGGCTAAGAGCCACCTTACATCCTGTCAAAATGTGCCTTAATGTGGCAGGTGATGAACACAAAGGACAAGAGGGATCCTCTCCTACCCAGAGGTTTAGGTTCTGCGGTGATGGGAGAACATCATATGTTGACCTAATAAGGAAACTGATCCTACTCTCTTCCATTGACCAAAGGTCTTGCCAGCCCATCTTACGTTGTTCCACACTCTCCCATCTCATCCACTCTCCCTGCTTGGCCTGGGAAATAGCCTTTATACACCTCATCCTCTCCTCCTGCTTACGCACCTCGTTGACTACCAGCTTCCTCCTTTGAGCTGGGCCTGCCTTGTGCCATTTAGGAGGAGCTAAACTGAGCCCCAAAACCCCCTCTTCCATGCTGTACCTGTCCCACGATATCCCCAATTTGAAGGGCAGCCTTTGCCTCTACTACAGATTTCTTTGCTGACCACTTTCTACTAGTTTTTAACACAGGGGCTGCCTCCCTTACACATTTGTCGCGTGACTCTACTAAGGTCATTTCCAGTCTGACCTTGGCACACTTAAACTCCTCGGTTAAAGCAGAGACTGGCAGCTGCAATATTCCTTTACTATAAAGTCCCACTCTGCTGAGGCAGTGTGGAACTCCCAACCATTTCCTGATGTATGAACTTATCAACGCTTCCAGCTTATCCACTGTTGTCAAAGAAACGTCGTACACGGTCAGTGGCCACAGCAACCTCGGCAGTAGACCAAACTAAAAGCACCAGAGTTTTAGTTTGCCAGGTAGAGCACAGCTGTTTATGCTCTTCAACCCTTCCACTGCTTGTCGTCTAACTTCTCCCACCCGACCTGTGTCCTTTAGATCCCCATCGTACCATCTCCCAAGACTCTTCACTGACTTCTCAGAAACTGTTGGTATTGCCTCACCATTAATGAAGAATGTTTTATCTACTACCTTTCCTTTAACTATCGAGATGCTCCTTGATTTAGAGGGCTTAAATTGCATTTGTGCCCATTCAATATTATCTGTTAACTTCCCCAATAACCGATTAGTGCAGGCTACTGTTGTAGTCATGGTTGTCATGTCATCCATGTATGCTCTGATTGGTGGTAGTCGCATCCCAGAAGCCAAGCGCTCTCCTCCTACTACCCATCTTGATGCCCTAATGATTACTTCCATCGCCATGGTAAAAGCCAGTGGAGAAATGGTGCATCCTGCCATTATTCCAACCTCTAGGCATTGCCATGCAGTGCTGAATTTTGGAGTTGAGAAACTGAATTGCAAATCTCCAAAATAGGCTTTCACTAAATTTGTTATTGACATTGGTACTCTGAAAAAATCAAATGCTGCCCAAAGAAGCTCATGTGGCACTGAACCATATGCATTAGCCAAATCCAGGAATGTCACATGGAGCTCCTTCCTCTCCTTTTTAGCTGACTGAATTCGTTGCCAGATAACATTGATGTGTTCTAAGCATCCTGAGAACCCTGGAATGCCCGCTTTTTGAACTGAGGTGTCAATGAAGCTATTCTTTAACAGGTAGGTGGACAATCTCTGGGCAATAATGCTGAAGAAAATCTTACCCTCAACGTTTAATAGTGAAATAGGACGAAACTGACTGATGCTTGTAGCATCTTTTTCTTTAGGTATAAAGACTCCACCTGCTCTGCGCCATGCTCTAGGTACAACCTGTTTTTCCCATGCCACTTTTATAAATTTCCACAGAATTCGCAGAACTCCTGAAGCACTCTTGTACACTCTGTACAGAACTCCATTAGGCCCTGGAGATGATGAAGCCCTTGCCTTTCTCACAGCCTGCTCTACCTCTTTCCACTTAGGTGCACAGACCTCCATTTGGTATTCTGGTGGGTTGATAGGTGCTATTATAGTTGTCCTTATATTATGGAATTAGCTTTTATTTTTATATTTTTATTTTTCATTTTAATTTTAGTTCATTTTTAAGTCATTTTGTTATGTTTTTATTAGTTTTTGTTTTTAATTATTTAGTTAATAGATTTAGTGCTTTGATTTAAGTTGCCAATGCAACACTTCTAATTTTCAATCTAATATTTTTTTTTATGTATAAGTGTATAACTTATTTACAAACAAACAAAACAACAAACAAAATGGGTCTTTTGACTTAATTTTAGAAAGTCTTTCCTGGATTTAGAAATAAACAAAAGATACAATTCTTACCTCCCTGTTAACCAGTAAACAGGAGAAAAAAGTGAAAAGTAAAACAAAGAGCCTCTGACCTCTCAAACAGTCTGAGTAAAAGGGTTGCGGTACATCAGAAGTACAGGCCTATACCGCTAACAGTAAGGACGCTGCTCACAAGCAGCTTACACTACAAAAAGAAGCACACGACAGCCAACCGACTATAACACGAGTGTTTTAGGCAAAGCCCTTTCACATAGACACTCACACACAGACAATCACACACACTCTCTCTCACACACACACACACACACACACACACACACACTCTACAACACCATAGAGTCGGCATTCTATACCCTTATACTGTATGGTGCACTATTTGAAGGGACAGCTATTTGTAGTGGTGTTCGAAACCATACTGGGCAGCCCTGGACATTATCAACTGCAAACTTAGGTCAGGAGCCGAAGCCCGAGGGACATGACACCACAGGAAAAACCCCAGAGACAATATCCGCACCTGAAAAGCAGGGAAGTCTAATTCGTAGAACAAAAGTGGACGGCGAGGACCAGCTGGCCGCTGCACAGATGTCGGCATGACCAAGACCAAGCCCAAGCCCAAGAGGAGGCCATTCCCCTGGTGAAGTGGGCCCTCATCCCAATAGGGTACTGTAAACCCAAGAATTTATAAGCCAGAGCTATTCTATCCAATGAGATAGTCTCTGCTTTATTACTTGCGGCCTCCGAAGCATACTGCTCTGACTGTCGAAACTGGCCATAGCGCTTAATGTACACCCTCAGGACCCGGGCCGGAAAAAGTGGGTGTGGTGTCTGCTCATCCTCAGTGGAGGGGAGAGCAGAGAGCGTTATGGTCTGTGCTCTAAAGGGTGTGGAAAGGCACGTAGCCTTAAACTTTACTGTCATTAGGCCCAAACTCGTGGCAGGATGCATCCACTGAAAGAGCCTGCAGATCCCCAACTCAATTGACAGATGCCAGAGCCAGCAGAAGGGCAGTCTTTAGCGAGAGAGGCCGAAGGTCGGCTGTTGTGAGCGGCTCAAACAGAGGGCCTTGAAGTCCCCACGGACTGTCGACAGGTCCCAGGATGGAATCTTGGGGCGAGGCACGTTCAGCCTCCTGGCCATCTGAGAAACCTAACTATCAAGTCGTTGTTTCCCCCCCCCCCAACTGAATGGCCAGCTATAGGAGCGTGGCACGCTGCAATAAATGCCACGTATACCT